CCGTAGCACGCATTCCTATAGAGTGGTATAGAACTACAGAGTATCTCTTGTGTCCACTGAAGTATTAGCACGCACTGTATCGTAGTATGTAGGCTGCATATTCGACACGTATTAAAATACAAAATATGAAAACCCGTCCTGATTTTTCAGCGCACACGACACAGTTCCAGGGTCATTTGGCGTACCACTTGGCGGCACTCCACGTACCACTGCCGGTACGCGTACCACAGTTTGAGAACCACTGATTTAAGGTAAGAGAATGCAATGCTTTTTGGTCACTGTGGAAAGGGCTTAAGTCAAATTAACAATCACAGTTACGGTACCCATAAAAATATGTACATAAATGCCCGAAAAAAGTAAGCAACCAGCAGACAGACTGTCATTGCCACTCACCACTCACTCATCAGGCTCTGCTGCAGTGCTTCGTCTTGGGCCCAGGGAGCGCTCTTCCCAGACAGCTTGCGCTCAGCACCAATCCGAGGGAAGAGGGGCAGCCAGGGCAGGGAAGGGTGCTGCCAGTACACCAGGCTCTGCTGGAAGGCACAGCGCAAATCTGGGCTGTTCTGCAGTTCCTGAATAAAGCAAGACACACATGGAGTCAACATTAGTGAAACAAGTAGGTACCCCTTCAATGTACTCGAGTTTCCCTTGAGTGGGGAGTTACAAAGCAGAAAACACAGGCAATATACAACTGGGCAACAACTGTCTGCTCTGTAAATTGTTTTTACTGCATTGTGCAGCACTGCAGAGTAAACGTACTTACTGGATGTTTACTGCACAGTGGGCAATTTTCAATGGGATGTTTTGGATGCCAGGCATTGAGTTCCCTCCTCCTGATACACTAAACACTCCCAGACAATTAATATCACCACTCACTTCTATCATCTACAGAAATTATCAACAACTGACCCACTGCTCAACAGCTACCCACACTGCCACCTCCTACAATCAAAAACAAGTCACTCTTAGCCAATCTCTTCAAATTGAAAAAGAAATTCCTGTCCCCCCCCCCCCAACGTTGCAGGTTATGAAATTTGTGGTGTGTGGACCCTCTGTACCTGATTGTGGGACAGCAGGTTGGCATGGGTGGCACGGCAATGCTGGACCAATCCCTGGGCCTCCTCCTGTGCTTTGAGGTTCTCTGCCCAGGCAAAGGGGCGAGGGGAGGTGAAGAGGAGACGCGTCTTGAGGCTCCAATCTGGAGGGAACTGAGTGCAGGGAGTGTCGGATGCGGCCGCGGTCACAGCTGGGACCTCAGAGTCCTGGGAGAGAGGGGATGCGGTGAGGTTATTTGTACAGACAACTGCGAGCGATCACCATGTCCCCCATTTACACTAGACTGTTGCAAACATCAAGCCAAACAAGAAGATTCTACTATTTTCTTTCTCAAGCCCAGAGGTTTATCAGGCTGGAGCTCCTCCCAGGTTGCCGAAGTTAAACTGGTCTGGGGGAAAATGGCTGTCCTGAGCGTGGGAGCACAGGGATCAGTTCCAGTTTTCAATCCCAAACCCCTTTTCTCACCAATTCCAATTCCTTTTTTACATTTAGGGAACTGGAACAAAAGCGGAACAAGAATTGAAAAATGAGAATGAAAAATGCCAATCCATCACAGCGTTAGTACTTATACCAGAGGTACTAATGTATACAGTACTGGGGGACAGGAATAATTTGGGAAACAAATTGTTCCATGCAACATCAATGTCTACAGGTTAGGAAATGCTTCTGGTTAAGAATCCAAAGCACTAACAACACTACTTTCTACAGACTTTACAAAATGCATTTCAACAGTCTTTGGAAGGCAAAATACCCTGGAGTAAAACCCAACGATCTTGTAGTCGTATCTTACAATTCAGGGTAGCTGCAGCCTATCCTAGCATGCAACAAGTGCAAGGCAGGATACACCCTGGATGGCACCGGTCCATCGTGGGCACACACTCACACCACGGCCAGTTTTCCCACTAGCCAATTAACCTACCAATATGTTTTGGGACTGTGGGAGGAAACTCACATGAATACAGAAGAACATACAAGCTCCACACAGATAACACCCCAGGTCCAGAATTGAACCCAGGGCATTTGCACTGAGAGGCAGCAATACACTAACCACTCCTGCTTAGGAGCAAAACCATCATAAACAAAAACATACTGACCAAGTAAATGTGAGGACGAGCTGTCTGTTTTGAAAACAGCTCTCTCTCCAAAAGGGAATCATCTTCTGGAAGAGAAAGTTCCACCTGGAAATTAAAAGAAAAAGCAGCTACATATCAGGTGCAAAAGAGATGTCACCTTCACTGACTGCAGGCAACACCCTCATTTGAAACTGCCACTAAGAGTGGACATTCAGAGGCCATGACATGCCAACTGTCCTACTACTCTCCCAGTGTGCATTGTATTAATCACTTGCACTGTTGCACTCAATGTAAATTCCTATACTACACCACCTAAACTCATAAACTCTGCAGCATATTTTGAAAATATGAAAATATGAAAAGATGTTCATTTCTAAACATTGGGTTTACTTGCATAATGTAATTTTTCTTATTTAAAATCGCATCAGGGTGAGACATCACCGATTCTAAACACAAGTGATTACGCTGGTGTAGTGTATTAGTAACACTGCATTAAGAAAGGGACTTCTTACCTTGAAGGGTTCTCGGCTGTGCGTCTCTGCAAGAACACGCCGTGTGCAGAGGCCGCGTTCCAAGACGCTCAGTCCCTGTGGACCGTTCTCTCCCTCGGCCTCCACAGGGGGCTTGCACCCCGCCGGTCCGTCCCCCCCCTGGCAGTCCTCCACAGCCCTCTTTTTCGGGCTGTTGTACGTGTTCTCGATGCTAGCGAAGGGGTTCCTGCGCTTTTGGCCACCCGTGCGCACCGCGGAGCCCAGAAGGGGTCCCGGAGAGAAGGGCCTGATCCCGGAAAGCGCACCCCCCGGACTGGCCCCGGAGCTGCAGCCGCCAGAGGTCAACACTTCGCTGCGGGAGCGCTGTCGCTGCCTCCGCAACCGCAGAGTGTCTGCAGGTCTCTTGAAGCTCGGAGAGTAGCCTGCGTGTTCAGACATGGTCGCTTTCGATGCTACTTCAGTTTATTTTCTAAAACAAGGTATCCAGCTTCGCCAACTTCCCTCGGTGTGAAGCATGTAAGTCTTCACCGTCTGTAAACTACAAATCAACCCCGAATTAAAGCGTACTTTACCCGCGCAAAGCTGGTGTGACGAGCAATTGAGATTTCCTGTTTTTTTTTCCTGTTACTGTTTCTGTACTTCCAACAACTGAACCCCGCCAAGTCGCAAACCTTCAGATCGCCTCTCTATGTGAAAGACAGCACATACCACCAATTACGAGAAAAAGTACTCCTAAAATAAGGAATACAAAAACATTTTAAGAACTAACTTTTATCGCGAACAATGATAAATTCCGTCCTCTTTTTATATGACGTAAGAGTTCCAAATCTCTGTATTATTTCGATGCTTCTTCACACTCCATCTGATTTTCTCTTATTGCTCTGTGAGGACAAATTTCGCGCGTAATACAAGCACGCCACAGTACACTGACGTAATGACGTCACTCTCCCGGTAATTTCCTGGGCAGGTCCTAGAGCGAGATGTCTACGTACGCTCTCCCGAGCTTAACATGTGCTTGTGCTGTACGTCCAGTTATCAACATTGTAGTGAGCGGGCAGGAGCTGGATATATTGTATGTTTTTAATTCAGACAAAATAGAATAGATTGATCAATCAACTAGGATTTTGGGTTCATATCTGGAAGGTTGTTCACATTTCTAGTGAGTTACTGCTGTTGTCACTTTAGGCAAGATACTTCAACAAATTGTTCTAACAAAATATCCAGTTATATGAATGAGTGAAAATGTCTATTTATAAAATTGTCAGCCAAATTAAAAATATATATCAAAGATACTTGTCAGCAACAAAAATCATGTACATGTACAGTTTATGTACTTTTATTTATTAAATAAAATTCGTTAAATGCGTTATGCTTTTCATTCCAAAGGACCTAAAAGTGCTTTATGAAGGAGAGGGGACTCCTAAAATTAAGGGCCTCTAGGAAATTCTGAAAGAATGTATATTATTACGTTGGCTGACAATTTTATTAAGAGACATTTTCACTCATTAATGTCTTTGGTGGTCTTCCATCTCTTTTTTTAAGGGGCAGCTTTGCTTAGCTCCTGAAATATGATTAAATCGGGCTACAGATAGTAGCTTGATTGCACTCCTAGAAGTAACAGAATTAGTATGAGTAACGGCATTTACAATATATTTTAAATCCACCCTTACAAATCGATCCCAAATTAACTGTCACTCGTGAAGAGCTGTGTAAAATAGAAAATACATATTCAATTCAATTCAATGCATTTTTATATAGCGCCTTTCTCATCAAGTTTGGCCCAAGGCGCTTCATGACATATGACTTTAAAACAATCACCACGTTCAGGGTATTATTTATACTATTTCAACTGAAAAACGGGGAAAACGTTCTTCTAATTTCTGTTACCGGAATCCTCCGATCTTTTTACATGAAAGACTGCATACGATTGTTATATACACGCCATGACATAATTTGTCCACTAGATGACGCAGTTTCTCCGTACAATGCAACAGATTGCGTTACTCAGTAAACCGGTTCATTCACCCGTAGAGAAGTACTCGATTTTGAGACAACAAGGGAGTGTTAAAGGCAGTATCGCTGTGCCAGGCCGGGTATTCGGGAATAGAGCTACACTGTGCAGACACCCTCAGCACTGATTCTGAAACGACTTGTCACAGTCTTTAAAAAAAACTCTACTAAGAATTCATGATAGGGTAGTTCTTCCAAATTTTGCTTCCCATTTTTTAAAGGGATTTTACAAGTTCAAAAGTGCAGATTAAAAAGATACTATCTAGATGCAGAAAAGCACTGCATAATTAAAAATTTATTTGTATAAATATTCTTTCAAACACAGTCTGGCAAAGTAATTCAGATTATGTATAGTTACACGTCTGCTTCCCCTACTGTCAACAGGCATCAACAAAGTGCCAGCTTCCAATATGCTTGCGTTTTCTTGGCAAACATACATCTAGCTAATAAAGAGACGAAAAGTATGGCTTTGGTTGAATGGAAGTCAGATTCGTGGCAGACTCTCACACCCTGTTTGTAAACACAATGTCTGAGCAAAGTTCCACACTGCTCACCTTAGTGTCACACAGCTCCAGATGGGACAGAGTGTGGTTGCCTATGTGTTTTTGTATCAGGTTAAGGATATTGTAAATTATACATCCTTTATGCCAGCTCTAACAGTTCTGTTAGTATTGCATAACAGGAGGACATCTGAATAACTGCCCCCCAGCTAAACATATGGAAGATATGTTGGGAAGCAAAGTGCTTGGCACTTCCTGACTGGAACATGTGAGGGTAGACCAGAGTCCCTTGTTGTTTTGTAGTTGTCAATACGCACAACCCCCTACACACACTCATTCTCGCTCAGGCAGCTGACACACAGTTAGCAGCCACAGTGGTTTCGCCATCATTAAATCTAGTTTGAGGTTCAGTTCCAGCCTGACTCTGTGGTCAGGTGAGGTTGGCATGTCGCTTCTGTTGAGTTTAACCCTGACAAGTCTGTGCTGTGCTGGGTTGGGCTCAGATGTATGGAGCTGGAAAACATGCAGGCCTTGACACAGATGATTTTGTTTTCTGAGGGCCCTGCCAACCGAAGCTGCCCTTACCTATTTTTACCCTGTGAACAAAATGTGTGATAGATGGGTCTGTTGGTCTCCTCTCATTTGTAACTTTTTTTAGTAGTAAGGATTGCAGCCTGTGGGTTTTAAAGACATTTAGAATGTGAGGAAACTATGATTTAGTCCTAAAGGCTATGCTTCTTCTTCATCCTTGGTAAGAGTGCACATTACGATTAGTCCCCACTGCTGTATCTGCCTGTCAGGAACAGTCACTCCACCTCCGTCCTGGGGAAGGGTGGTGCGGGCAGAAAGCAGGTCTGGGCTTGCCGAGCATGCTGTGTGTTGAAAATTCCTCTGGAGTTCAGGAATAGCTGTGGAGTTTGTGGGAGGAGGTTGGGGGTGAAGAGATTGGCATTAAGTCAGAAACCCACATGTTCCTGTTCCATCAAGGCAAAGTGACATTGCTGGGAGAGAGGGAAAGTTGACAGAGGCAGGAAAGGAGGAAGAAGAGGCAGAGCAACAAAGTGGGAAGGACAGTAAGGGAGGCAGGAGGGTGCAGAGTGAAGGTGACACACTCAGTAAGAAAGGCACAGGGAGAGGTAGTGTTGATCACATGTGCCTGGCCAAGACAGAAAAGACAGAAGAGTTCAAAGCAGAGGATCCAGAATAATCCCGGTTCAAAAAGGAAAGGCATAGACAGATAGTTTGAAAGATTTATGTATCTTCAGTCCTACATAGAGGGGATTACAAGGTGACCTGCTACAAAGTATTCGGAATACTGAAGGGCATTGGTAAAGTTAACCCAATGGATTGCTTCATACTTAGCTAAAGAAGAAGTGGAATTTACATGAAAATATGTGTCTAGGACTGAGGGGGTGAAGGTCTCTGTGCAAAGGGTGATGGGCATGTGAACCAAGCTGCCAAGTCATAATGTAAGTTCTCCAGGAAGCTGATCCCCTGGGATTCCCTGAAGAGCAATACCCCTGGGAAGAATCCCTGATGATCTTTTCAGATCAAAAGCCACTCAATGGACATGTTAACTAGAACGGTCTTGTCTTTTTTTGTAGCCTTCTTAATGTGTTTCATAAATGCTTCAAGATCTGAGACCTGCTCTTTGCAATCAAAACACAGAGATGGACAAACAAGTGTTAGAAAAGAAAGGCAAAGGACACAGGAGCATGGTTCCAGCTACACAACTGTATTTATATTTATAAAATAAAATTAAACTAAAAAATACAACAAAACAATAAAAAAATATTTCCAGAAGTGAAAAAGCACAGTGTTGTGTAGTAACATAAAGCCTCAATGACTTTTTCAGGCATTCATTTACAATCAAGGACTATTTACACAAAGTGAGTTCTTTCTGTGAGTTCAGCCCATTGGCCTCAGAGTGTATAAAACCCCAGGCAGCAGGAGGGACACAGCGAGAGAATATTCTCACAGCTGCAGCCAGCAGGAAGGAGAGGTGGCCAGTGTGCTGTTGACCACTCATGTCCTGGGCTTGCCCTGTACCACTTTCATTGCGTCACAGTGAAGTCTGAAAACACAGAGGGTCTTAACCAGTCCTTCAGACAAAGACAAGCGTCTCCTGCAGCATTTACAAGGATCATTTAATTACCAACTGACTAAGATCTGGGAGGAAATGGTTCTTTTATTTTGTGCACTTCATCTTGTAATTAAATGAATTCAATAATTGAAAGGTGGGCTGGAGTGAGACCCATCAGTCACTGCAGCTTGTGTAGGAATAGGCTCTCTCCCCACAATACAGCAACCTCTACCATGACACAGAAGGCTTAAAGGCATCAATGGCTCTCAGAGTTGGTTGTACTGTACCAGAGTGGCTCTCCATGCAAACAAGGAGTCCAGCTCGTGGACCTCAGAGTAATAAGCTCCTAACCTTTTCAGGAATCTATACCTGTCTACCCTGTCACATTTCCCTTACAATAGCCATAACAAGATCCCATACTGATCAGACCAGTTTTAGCCCAAATGCTATCACTAATCCCTGCATAAAGCCTAGCCTTTACTTTAACCCCTTAAAAAATCTTTCATGATAACTCAGGAAGTCAATCTTCCATCTCTTTTTTTGAGTAACACAAAATACCACAATTCACTACCGACTGTCAACCAAAAATTCTTAAAAGTTGGAAAATGCTGACATTTAAAGATAAGGCTTACACAAAATTTTGAGACTGGGTTTTCTGGAACTTGTAAAGGTGAGCCCAATCTGGACCGATATCCCTCTACTGCCAGCCCAACTGCGTACTGCACCATTTCCTATATGTTATGTGTTACATTATCAAATATTAATGCAAAATTGAACATCTTTCACAAATTCCCACTTGCTCTGCTCTGTTTTACATTGTGCTGTCATCTAAGAATGGATGAATCCCAAAAACAAATTAATCATGTTGGGTTTTTGGAACACTGTCCAGACAGAGAATGTTTGCAGTTTGATTTTCTATGTGATACTGAATAGATCTTTTTATATGCACACGCGATTTGTACCATTCACTCACGTCTCTCCCTGGCGCCGATGTGAAAGGGCTTTTGTGGTGTGACACCTCTGTGGGATTCCTGCACTCAGGAGCAGTGACAGCGCTGGCGACACTAGAAGCAAACCAGTACCCTTGCACACCCAAATGTCTCTTCACAGTCTATCACATGTTCATCATTCACAGTTTCTGTGTTTTCTTCTTTGCAGACTTCAAATGATGTTATAATAATTAAGAATAACAAGAACAATTATAAAAAACAGCAGTACATTCAAAAACAAGAAGAAGAAAACAAATCATTGGTTTTTCCTCCTTTACATCCTCCCACATTGTTCCCCTGTTGCTAGTCTTCACTATTTACAATCTTCTTGATACAAAAAGAATAAATTCAGTGAGCAAGTGGAAGTGCAAAGTGTTTGGCCACAGGTTCTCCAACCCTGTCTGGGAGTGAGCATGAGGAGGGTGTAGGGATCAATATGGCCGCCACACAGCCTCTTCCAGACGGCCTGCGCCAGTGGCCATGTTGGTAGGGGAGCTGCTGTGACTTCCTTCTGTCTCCACTGCTTCACTTTGATTGGGCAGGGAAGGATTTAGCAGGGCGGAGCCTGTGGATGCATTGGTGCAGGGAGGGAGGATGCGAGGAGGAGAACGTTCACCCCCAGACATCATGGAGAACTGGTATGAGCCGGCAGCGGTGCTGTAGTACAAGTGGTAGGGGGGCGAGCTGGTCTGGAAGGCCCCAGTCTGGCCCTGAGAGGAGCCCCCAGGGTACGGTGGGGGCAGATAGGTGTGGTAGCGTGCGGTGCCTGTCATGGCTGGCATGCCGATGCCAATGGCGGTGGTGACCGGTGTGGGGGTGTAGGTAAATGCTCCAGGGTAGTGCATGCGTGGGTCAGGGAAGCGACTCTCTGGCAGCGAAGGCAGCGAGGAGAACTGGCGCTCCAGCCCCACCCGGGGGTCACTGAATGCTGTCAGCTCCGAACCTAATGATAAAGAACAGAGGTCAGGGGCCATACAGCACCAACACTGCACACTTTCTTTAAACACAGAAACTCCAGACCAAATTCCAAACATGGTACTAATCCTTGCCCTTGGTTATGGCTATGAACAGGGTAAAAAGGTGGAGAGTAAGGATAGGATTGTGGTAGGTAAAAAAAAATGTATCTGGATTTACAATTTAGAAGTGACAGTAACCTAACTGTAACTGTACACAATAAAAACACAAAACATGAGAACATCAGAAAAGTTGCAAAAAGAGGAGACCATTCAACCCATCTAGCTTGTTTAGTAGTTAGTAGATAACTGATGTGTGACTCTTTATGAAAGAAGCCAGAAAACCAGCTTCAACACCATGAGTAGGCTGGTTATTCCATATTCTCACAACACTTAATGTAAAGAAGTGCCTCCTGTTCTCAGTTTTAAATACATTTCCTTTTAGTTTACACTAGTGTCTTATGATTCAAGTCTCACTGTTGATTCAGAAGAAGGAAACTGTACTTTAATTTTAACCCTTGTTGTGTAGAACACATATAGGTAGATCTAGGGTATGCACCTATTACCACTCATTAAGACAAATTTCCGTACAGGAATAAAAACAGTCTAATAGTGTTAAAGATCAGACCCACTTCTCCTGCAGTTGGATAAGCTACTTCCAGTTGGAAGATTAATAAGCAAAATGGATACAATCATACAGTATATCTGACAAATTGTTCCATATGCAATTAAAAAAATAGATTAAAGATAGATGTCTGCCATAACTAAATTTACTGATCAAAATCTAAAAGCAAGATATCTTTTATATCTTCCTCCATCCTCATAAAAAATCCTTTGAAGGAACAATTCTAAACCTTACGTTTAGCCATAACACTTTTTTAACACTAACTCCATAACACTTACCCCAGATCTATTCCTTACCCAGTCCAAAATTTGCTGTAGCTGTCACCTCTAACCTTAAACCCTGATAAATTTCTAACCACAAATGAAGCTCTCCTCTGCACCTGTGCTCCTATAATGTTATAATGTTTCTTTATTAGCCCTATACAATTTCTTGCATTAGGAATGCGTCTTTTCGCATATCCCAGCTTTTTCTCCATGGAGACACAGACACAGAGACAGAGACAGGGAGAGAAGCTTGGGGTCAGAGCACAGGGTCTGCCATTGTATGGCACCCCTGGAGCAGTTAGGGTTAAGGGCCTTGCTCAGGGGCCCAACGGAGTAGGATTCCTCTGACAGCCATGGGATTTGAACCAGCAACCTTCCAGTCACAGGCACAGATCCTTAGCCATAGAGCCACCGCTCCGCTCCTGATCATAACCTTAATCCTAAACTCAGACAGATCTCTAATCTTTAATCTCATACCCAGCTCTCACCTGTATCTGTGCTGCTGATCATAACAATAACCATAAATTCAGACAAAATCTCTAACCTCATACAGTACCTAGTCCTCTTCTCGACCTCTGCCCCGTCTCTAACAACTATTAGTTTGTTCAGTCCTCACCTGACAGCCGGCTGGAGAGGTCAGTGAGCGCTGACATGCCGCTGGCCCGTCCAGGTGAGATAGGCGTGGCTGGGTGGACGGAGGGGGTGGAGATCTGACCGAGGTAGGGATAGGACTGCTCATAGGTCCAGGAGGGTGATGTCTGCATCTGCCTGGAGTCTAGAAACAGGACACAAAATGTCACAGGTCAGGTTACTTTGCTAATTGAGTATGACATCTCAGCTCCCACATGGGGGCGCTGCCTATACAGTATCCTTTCTAGACCTGGAATGGACAATACACATTCAATTCAATTTGAATAATAATTTATTGTGCACATTTCACAGATCAACAGCAAAAGATTTATAATTATCTCCATGTTTTTCCTCCAGGTGAATTTTTCCATAATGATTTTAACTGGTTTCCTATTTTCCTTCTTTTCCATACCTAAGCTATGGCTTTCCATGCTTCAGTAAATCTGACTCAGGTATGCAAAGAAAGGTGACAAAGTGAAAAATAAAGACATCAGATCAATGCTGTGACAGAAACCTCCCTCAGCTGCAGCGCAGTGCCTAGGATCAAAGCTGTGACCACAGCCACGACAATTGCACAATGTGGATGATGGAGACTGTGGAGAGCAGGCAGTGTGCCCTTTCCTGTCATCTTAACAAGCTTTGCACCATGATTGCCTGCAGACTCCAGTCTGAATGACTAGATCAGAGAGGAAGTAAATTAAATACAGGGAATGTGCCTCCTTTAACTGTAGCCAGCCTTGTGAATTCAGAAAAGGGCCTGTTGCCAACACCCTACAGCCCTCTCCCTCTCTGCACTGACTCCAACCCTGAGCTCTGATCAGGAGTGGGCCTCACACACAGGATGAATGTGGTGAGAGGGGGGTGGCCCATTGCAATTGGCACTGCCCACCTCACCGTGCCCCTTTAGTGACTAACAGCCTCTTTCATGTCAAGTACAGAACTTAAGACAGATACTTCTGAGAGTGACACGCTAAATGTGCATTATAAACTGAGCAGGTTGAAAATATTAATGGATTTTCTTTTATGGCCCAATGCACAATCTTGGATCATCATGCAACTAAGCAAAAAAAAGGTTGAGATCAGACTGTGTCCTGCTCATGTGAGCTTTTCATACAACTTTTATGATCTGACAATGTGCTCAAGAAGTTCAAGAATATAATCAGATTTTTCAAAACTGAAATATTTGTGGATGCATGACTTGTTTAGTTTAGCATCATTCTGGTTAGTGACCATCCATCTTCCACAGTGGCATTGCAGAAACATACTCCACTGTGGGAGGACAACTCCTACTCAGCCTCACCCAGCTGCTTCTGATTTTCGGCAATATGAAAGGAAAAGTAGAAGAGAAGGAAAAAAAACAAGGTCTTGAATTACTTAATAATCATTTCCTTTGGCAGATTTCCCGCTGCTATTTCTGGAAGTGGGATCAGAGGGAAAAGTGAACTAGGCAGGAAACGTCCGAGTCCTGCTCTGCCCTTATTCCTGATCTGTGCCAGGGAGCTCCTGCTGTACTGCTGCAGGCTGGCACTGCTCTCTCTTCCTCCCCACCTGACAGAAACTTGCAGACCCAGTCTCTCTGCCAGCCCAATGCAAGGCCAGTGCTTGCCAGGCCCCCTCGGGAAATGTGGAAGAGAGACAGACAGGAGGCCAAATCACTCCAGCTGTACAAAGACACCACAACCCCAACACAGACACAGATTTTCTACTATTTCCCTCCTTTTTTCCCAGATTAAAGGCAGAATGGCATACCACAGGAGTTTTCTAATGCCATAAAAAATATTTCCAATTGATTCCATCGTTTTATTTTGTCAAAATGAGCACTGCAGCTGCCTCACCATGTAAACTCCCAATTATTTAGGTCATCTAAGTATGAAAAAGTGTGCAAGAACATCAAGATTTGATATGGACATCTCCGTATTTTACAGTATCCCCAGCACATCAGTCTTATTTTTCTACGTACGTAGCATGAACTCCTACTAACCATTAGCAGCCAGTCATTTCATTTATCACACAATATAAGTGCCCTTTGAATCACTTAAAAAAGAACAGTCACGGAGGTGGTTTTATAGAGGGGGATTTTGTACGTATCAACTTCCTGCCAGATCTGTCTCACTTCCTCTCTCGCACCCCTGCTTCCCTCCTTGTGAAGTGTCAAACCCTCCTTTGGCCCCTTGAACAGCAGGCATGGTCTGTTCTCTTACGCTTCGTTCCCGAAACATAAGAGGAAGAGAAAGCAACCCAATACACCATGTATGGAAGCTTGAATATTTTCTCAGAGAGCGGAGATCTGGCTACCCAGTTTTCATGGGAGATGGGAGAACCTGGTTAACACATAGCAGCAACATGGATGCAGCTCATGTTGTACTCTTGGCTGTACAGAATGACAGCTTTCCTTTGTTTTCTTTTGGGTTCAAATCCCAACTGAGACAGTTGTTGCAGCCATGAGCAAGGAAATTACATCACCCAGATTGCTACAGTAAACTACACAGCAGTATAAATGGGTGCAAATGTATAAGGGGCTTTGGATAAAAGAGTTGGCCAAACAAATTAGTAACAATTAGTAAAAATCAGGGCAGCACAGTGGCTCAGTAGTTGGCATTGCTGCCTCAGAGAGCAAGAGCCCTGATTTCAATTCTGGTACTGGGGTGTTATCTGTGTGGAGTTTATACATTCTCCCCATGTTCAAGTGGGTTTCCTCTGGGTGGTCTGGATTCCTCCCACAGCCCATACATACTGGTAGGTTAATTTGCTCCTGGGAAAATTGGTCCTGGAGTGAGTCTGCGTGTGTTTGTGTTTGTGTGTGCCCTGCAATAGACTTGTGCTTGTTACTTGCTGTGATAGGCTCTGGCTGCCCCATGGCCCTTAAATGCAATTATTGACTAGAGAATGGATGGATTGTAAAAACTGTTAAAGTCCTGTTGTAAATTAACAAAAATAAGCTTTCATAAGGATGTGCTATTGCACATGAGTGGAGCTCTTAATTTTCTTTTTAAAGTCAGGAAAACTAAAATGAATAAAATACAAGTACAATACAAATAAAAACACTGCAACAGGAGAGACATGGGAGTCCAGGAGTGATCAGCCCATGCAAAGTGAATATTTATATATAATTGTTATATGTGAGAACCATTTACACATAAACCTGTAATAAAATGTAGCTGCACAGAGCTTGGAAACACACCTAAGACTTTTTGGTATCTGAAAATGTTCTTGTGCAATTTTGGGACACTCCTTGTTCTGGGGTGTTCATGTTGAAGAATGGCATATACAATATCTTGTGCCTTTCTGGAGTTCCTAAAAAGAATCTTTATTCATGTATGGCCAATTTTCATTATCAATCTTTCTCTTGCTCCCAGGCTAGATATTCAGACAGAAAATCTTAAAATAAAAAATGCACCAAAGCAAAAAGAAAATCAGAAAGTGATTAAGAAAAACAGAAGATGAATGATCTTTGGAAAGACACTGGTACTGTTTGACTTCCCCAGCAGTAGGACAAGCAGGTCTTGTCCGGCAACTGCAAACAAAGTTTGTGCTTTTTCAGTGTGGCAACTTGTTCAGGCTTGTTGCCAGCTTTCTTTTATTTGCTTTGTTCTTAGATCTCTGGTCTGACTTGCCAGGAAGTGTGTCTTCAACTCAGCCAAAAGTTCATACAAGACAGGGAACCAAGCAGCAGTCAGCCTCTTAAGAACCCCACCCCAGCAAGCTGGCAAAGAGCTCATCCACTCCTGCCAACACATGCCAAGGGCACAGCAGGGGTGGGGCTGAGTTGCTGTCAGCTTGCAGAGTTAAGTAAGACTACATGGTCAGCCTCAGTATCCAAGCATAAAGCATACAGTCAAGCTGTACTAGACATACTACATCTCTGTCTGCTCTGTGCGTCTCCCTGTTGCAATGTGGCATTCATGTTCACTTCAAGACGTACGATTTCCACATGACATGCACCAATACATGGCACACTAAGCTGAATGCTCACTCCACCTAAAGATTTCCGGCACCTCCTCCTTGCACTCACCGGGGATCTGGCTGTGCGTAGGGCTGGCAAAGGGAGCAGTGTGGTTGAGGGGTGGCCGGGGGTTCGGTGTGGGGCTGGGATGGTGGGGGCTAACCCTCATGGCGCTGCGGCGCAGCTGTTCCAACTCACTCAGCCGCTCTGAAAATGCCAGGCTGCCCGGCTTCACCGGCTCCTCCAGCTTCTGACGGTGTCCTGAGAGACACACAGACAGCACAAGCTGCATCACAGCTCACACACAGGGAGGGTCTGAGCAAACAGACTGGCACAACAGGGGCTATTCTTCAATAAGAGACACACCTAAACACTAAACAGTATTAGAGAGTGCTGCATAGAATTAAATACGCTAATAAAGATTTTTGTCAAGCATCTCATAGCCAAAATATTACTTTACTAACCAAAAGAGGAAAAAAAAAATCTTTTAACATTGTTATGCACCCCACCCACTCCAAATTGGCCCATATCAGCACATGTCCTTGGATACAGTGAGACAGAAATTGTGAAGATTAAAGTATATAATAGTATATAATAGGAAATTAAAAACATTTGGAACAATAGAAAACTCAATTGCATCTCCTTTTTAATCCTTCAAGTCTCCTTTAAAAATAAAGAAGGCAAACTGACATTAGCAAAGCCAGTTTTATATGACAGTTCATTATGTATCAAATAAAATAGCAACTACTGGCCCCTTCTTAGCCCAACAACTGTTTCTGTTTTCAGCTACCTCAGGCAGTTGTGTCTGAGAACAGTGAATGTGTTCAGAGAAGACAGGGAGGTGGGAGTGGCCTGAACAGCATTGCGACTTGACACGCCAGTGCCGACCTCACACAGAGACACAGAAAGTGGGATTAATGATTACGGGCCAAGAGGGAGAATGTACGTCTCCTGGCCCTCAGCTGTGAAAAACCATCACCGCTCTCCCCCTACACCCGCCCACCGAGAGGAAGTCGGTGCTGAAACTAGAGCTCAAGTCTGAGCCTTTGAAGACACAGCCAAGTGCTCGATCCAAGACCCAGCCTTGCATGCGGCGCCAGCTCCCCAGATTCCAGTCCAAATGGGTTCATCACTGGGAATAAACATGCTGGAGTTAAGATACTAGTACAGCTAGTTTCTACAGGAATAAATACATCTAACCAAGCACTGCTCTGTCACTACAGGCATAAACACAGCTAACCCAACTGTGCTCTGTCACTACAGGAATAAGCACACCTTATGTAGCACAAGTATGTCAGTACAGAAATAAAGCTCACATAACCCAGCACAGGTCTGTGACTACAGGAATAAACACACCTAACTAGCACAGGTTGGTCTCTAAGGGAATAAACATACAGTGTCCAGTTGAGCTCTATTACGGCAGAAAAAACCCCACAAACACAAATTCAGTTCTGCCAATATAAGTATAAATACACGTGGAACTGTCCAGTTCTCTCAAAGCAGAAACTAACACATGTAAATCAGCCCAGGTTTGTACCTACAGGAATAAACACACACATCAACTCTACTGATAACAGAAAAAAACACATCCTGTCCAGTCCAGCTCTGTCCCCACAGGAATAAATACAGGCAGACCAGTCCAGCCCTATAACAAACAAAAAAAATACCTAGACCAGTCCAGCACTATCTCATAGCAAACCTGGACCAGTCCATATCTGTTCCTACAGGAATAAACACCTGAAACAGTCCAATTTTATTTCCACACCAGGACTAGTCCAACTCCATATCCACAGGAATAAACACACACATATCAGCCTATCACTGGGACTATAGGAATAAATACACCCAGCCTAGGCAGCTGTGTTAATTCTCCATCTGTAGTAAAGATCCTTACTGTCGCTGCCTACAGCCCTGCCTGTTTCTTATTTCCTCTCATTTCCTGCCCTATAGACATTCTCCTTTCCCCTTTTTCATTTATTTTTTTTCTGACATTAGCCTCAGTATTAAGGAGCAGTAGTGTTCTATGGGGACATTGCTACAGTAGTTATTTCTGTTAAGATCTCTATAGAATAATGCAGTTCACTTCTACTTTAGACCGTGCTTACACAATAGTCTGTACTCTCTGTTTTCAGACATTCCACAAGTTCAGAATATCTAGTCACCATTAAATAGAGGTCTAAAACTCAGGATCAAATTTTGGTACAGTGCTGCAGAAGTGACATTTTTTTCTGTCTGCACGAGAGTCAGAGCCTCAAAGAGTTTGCAACCATTAGAGCTACATTACCAGAGGCCTGGAACTTAAGGAAATCTGGCTTGAGGTCCATTTAATTCCAAAGTATGAAAAGGCCTAAAAATGTTATATTAAATTATTACCGCTCCTGGAACAAGAAGGCCTGATTCAGTGCCAGTGTTGGCAACAGTAGGTGCTACAGGTTCAAAAGGTGCATGAAAAATAGACATTGGAACTCACGTCTAGGCTCCCGTGGGCCATCCACAGTGATTTTGATGGCGCGGTGGTAGGTGGCCACCTGGGGCGGGTTGGTGAAGACGGTGATGGTCAGGGTGAAGCTTTTTCCTGTGTAGGCAATAACAGCATTTGATCAGAAGATACAAAAAACGGCGCAGGGTGATACAAGGGTGAGGTCTGGAAATTCTTGTCTGTTCTCTGTGCTACACGGAATCAATCTCTTTCGTTTGCAAGTGTAAAGGTTGTGGAGCAGGACACAATCACATAGAGTAGGACTTCTCCTCTTTTTATACTGATGTGAGTCACCAAACTGACAAAGTAAGAAGAGGCACCACTACTTTATTCACATAGACATTACCCATTGCCCATTATTGTTTTACTAATGAAACTGTAATGTAATTAAAAAACATTTGCAATATGTTTAGACAGCTTAAGTACTGTACTCAAGTACAGCTCCACATTTCTACTCTTGTTAGCACTTCAAAATCGTTAAGTAATTAAAGTGAATGAAGCTAATGTACTATCAAGAGGACTTCACTTTGGCCTGAGTGAAAAAGCAGACACTTGTTGGATAGCAGTCTAATCTTTATTTAAGTTTAAGAGCTGCTGTACAAATTCTACTAATGAAAAATGTGGTTCGTATTATTGTATTTAATATTATAAGAACATACTCAAAATAAAGTGGCATACACCACCTGGTGCTGGGTTATTCACAAGAGCCTGTGGCTCATAAAATCGGAAATGGCCCAAAGAGCTGTTCAAGGGGAGTCTAATTTCCATTTCTTCTGGTTCAGATAATCTGATCATCATTGCCATGAGTGGGAGATGCTAATTCAGTTTGTTGTTTCAAAATCATGAATATAAGACAATACCTTGGGAAAATAAGGTTCTGTATTTCAGCCACAAATATTGGTACTATCCCTTTTTTGTGTGGTGCAGTCACTCTCCCACTAACGCCTGCCAAGCTATTGCATCAGTAACAGATCTGGGCAGGGTAATTAATTCAGTCAACAAAGAAAAGTGTGCCTCTAATCACTGTCTTGCACAAGCCATCCAAAAAAAACAACTCTTTTACTTGTGTGTGTGGGGGACTGTAATACTGTGCTTTGTGGAATTAAAATGAAAGCAAAAAGCAGGATGGTAATCTGAAAGACAGTTCACAGTTTCACAGTATGAAAGGGTTAGATGATAGGCTCAGTTTAATAAAAAAGAACAAATTCTTGAAGAAAATCCTTTTAGAGGAAACTAGATGATGTCTAGATTAATGACAATTAATATATATCCCTTTCTGTTACAAAAAAAGCAACACATTTAGCTATGGATCTTCATAGCTCTCCTTAATATCCTATGCTTTTTTCCCCTCGTCTGAGAGGGTAAAGGGTCAGGCTAGCAACAAAATCCAGTAATACCAAATGGGCTGAAAGGCCTTCTCCACCTTCTGTGCTTTCTGGTGTTTGAATACGCAGAACAAAGCCTATCCCTGCTAAAGTTCTTACACTCCCGACTGTCATTACAGTAAGTGACCTGTTGAGGCACTGAGGTGAACACTGATGAGGAATCAGGCTGCACTGTTAAAAAAAGCTTGCTGTTACACTGAGACAAGCAAACTCATATCAGGAATGACTTCAGGCTGCTTTCAAACTCAGACCCCCTGTCTCAGTGCTGGCTGGTCTTTGAGCACAGTCACTCAGAGCTGTAAGCTATTCTCAGCCTGCGCCTTGGGGCCTGTGGGCTGGGGCTGCAGCAGACACACAGACAGCAGACAGCACGCTTCTCTGAAAGTATGTAACCTCTAAGAGTTGGCACAGTAGCTTGGATTGAAGAACACAGAGCGAGGCTCTTGGGGCTTGTGGTAGATAAAAAAAAGAGAGACGAAAAGGCAAATAGAAGAGAGAAAAAGAAAGCATAGAGTGCCAGCCACCCTAGGAGCAAAAAGGAAACCTCACTCATGCTCCATTCCTCATCTCATAACACACTTACACAGAGCACTGCCATAACAGTATGAGCTGCTCTCTCTCGAGATAGCATATCTGTGGCGTAACACCAAGCATACAACAGGGGCAGACACAAACAGATCTATAGGAGGTAGCCTAGCCTTGCACTTATCAAGCAGGAATTTGTGCAGATGGTCAGGGTAGAAGGTTGATATTTATACAGTATTATGGACTTAGAAATACTGGGGCTGTGGAGAAACAGGAAAATTCCACTGATTTGTTTGGAGAGGTGAAGAACAGACAATCCACTGCAGGTACTGCTTTCTGACCATGCTGACCTGGTATACCTCCTCAGTAGGCAGGGTGTGGGCTATGCTAGGTCAGTTCTCAGTTCTTTGTACTAGTTCTAACCGTCAACATGGAGAAGACAGGTACAGAAATGGTCCCAGATGATGTCAGCATTGACCGCTGTCTAAATAGCACACTATTGCAACTAAACTAGCTAGGTTTTCAATGTTTAATAAAAGAGGTGCACAGTGCCCTGCTAGGGTGATACTGGACACATGACAGGCACTGTCCCTGCTCTGTGTCCTTACTCACTGTGCTCTGGAGAAACAGGCAGACAAATGTATGCTTTGCTACCTTTTATCACTTATCGGTTTCTCTTCTCATCTGACACCATCAGCCCAACTTGTCCTTCACAACTTTATCTTCTATTAGGATGTGCATCTGTCTGGTTTACATTTTTTCTGTTCTTAACTGTTATCTTTCCTTCAACAATCTTTGTGCCAGCGCTTTCTAATCATCTAAGGGTGTCCCTGAGTACCTGCCTCTATAAACAATAACACATAAACAACACACACAGCCAAAGCACTGCTTTTACCATCTGTGCTGTTTTTTATTAACAGGACAGGTATGTGCCTGTTGTATGTGACTGCCTCACACTGAGTTGCAGTTGAATTTGCATCACTGTGCTTCATTTCCAGTCTCACTGAGGGACCCAGCCCTTTTCACAGGAATCTAGGTGGACTCCCTGCCTTTTCAGGAGCTGGGTCACCAAAAATAAATGAATCTAGCCTCCCTGAGCTTGTTTTTCATCACAAAGGATCCCAAAGTGATTTGCATATAAAAAGGAACTCACATCATCCACCACTGAATTGCAGCCTGCATGTTAGCCCTTATATGCCAGCTGCCCCACAACATAGATCAGGTGGTGAAGTCAGGACATGCTTTTCCCAATGTCCTAGGGCTGTTATATATATATATTTAAATAAAGTAACCTACAAGTACCTGTGTAGTACTTTTAAATATAAGTGGATTCTTTAAATTCACTTTCTTACTGTGCAAGCATATATACTGTACCACCTGTATACTTCTATATTGTGTAATTCTGTACCATGTCCTGTACATACATGGATATAACTGTTACAGCAGCATGAGCAGAGTACAATATGGGCTAAACATGTCCAGCCATGTGTGGCCTCCCTCTGCTTAAATCACTCTGTCATGTTCTCCACAATTTCAATAACTACTCATGGCTAACTAGAATGACAGGTCTGCCTCTGTTTGCAATGTGGTGGGACACATAATTTAATTACCAGCCATTGTCTTTGGAGATGATTGAGATTTTTGAATTACAAAAGGTTTTTCATGCTTGTTGAATGCATGTGCAGAGACATTTCTGCTTTGCCGGTGGTGCTCCTGTTACAGTAAGAGAAGGAGAGGTCTAGTGATGATATTTCTGAATGTGATGGAGTGGGGGTGGGATCTGTGTTTTTTTTGTGCAATGATTTGAGCTGTTCTCCTCCCTGGGCTCTTGGCTGATGGAGCTGTGGCTTTGATCTTCAACAAACTCCTCAGGATTCCAGCTTGTTGGCGGCAGGTTTTGAAAATGATGCGTTTCCTGAATGTTTTCTCAGCCTGGAATGCATTGCCTAATTATGTCAAGTCATCTGCCACCCCCAGCCCCACCCCCAGGCCCTTTGAAACCGTTAATTTGTTATCCGAAAGCCAGGCTGAGAACGGTAATGCTATTAATTAGCAGCGGTCTTGCTCTAGTGCAATGGTGCAATTGTGCTCTCCAGTGTGTTTATTTACTATGACAAATAGGATGTTTATGCTGAACAGGACTCTTTTTAAATATCCTCATATGAATGTCCCCATGAACGTGGGAGAGCACTGCTGCCAGGGGAAATTAAATCGAGTCAGCACGATGCCCGGAGGAGTAGAGACTGGCACGATGGTGCTCAGAGCCATGGGAAACAAGCTCTGTGAAGGAAACAGAGCATTACAGCCTCAAGTGAAAAAACTGGAGTCTAGAGAAAGCACACAGGCAGACTATATCCCTCATCCACTGCCTATATTCGGTAAATAATTCATCTATTACTAAGTCATAGTTAAGAAATCCCATTATGCTCCTCTGACATTCAAAAAGGAATTTATTTGAGGCCATATTATTGTAGCATTGTATTTAAAACTTCTCTGTTCACTAATAAATCAAGGGAGAGGAGCTTATATAAAGGGAAGGGAATGTTTTAACTCAGGGTTTGGGATACTGAAGCTGTCTACTCTATCCATCTATGGTGTGTGTACATAAGCAGGCCTTCATTCTATGTACATCAGCTCGATAAATGCCGGAACGTAGACAGCTGAGCTTCATAAAAAGTCTTGATTGTCCATTTAATGCATTATTTATTACTTCTTCCTCTTTGTGCAGTTTTGTGCTTGTGCAGGGCTGTCGGGTTATCATGCTTTTGGAAACAAAAGATTTGCATAGCCTTTCCAGTGAGGTGATTTTCAGTTTAGAATTTGGATTGGACTGCTCTGTCCAGTGAGTGTAGGATCCTAGTCTGTGAGAGGAGAATGTCTGCAGCTGCATTATATGTTTAAACACTAACACCAGCCCTGTGCCATCATTCTCCAGTTACTGCAAATCTGACAGAAAGGGGGCCCTGTAGATGTTGTAATGCACAAAGCTTTGGCCAAGGATGGATTAGGCTCTTATTGCATAGCACTATGCAGATTTTTCAGGTTGTGGACTCTGGTGCAGAAAGTATTATTAGAGCGGCAAAGAACGATGCAAGTACCGTACTTAACAGTGTTAAATAAGTGTTGCATCTTTTTTTATTTTCCCAAAGTAGACAAAAACGTAACTGTTTCTTCCTCTGTTTACTTGTGGAGCTCATAACATTCTAAAGTTGAGGAAAAAAGATCTGAGGCAGCCTTATCATGTGATACATCTATGCTTACATGCTTCAACCATGAAATGGGTCATATTCTGGATACTTTCACTATACTTGTGGCAATAAGCTGCAATGCTCTGAGAGTTTTTTCAGCTGTCTTGTACTTCCACCTCAGTGTTGTAAATATCATTGACCTTCTTTGTTGAGCATCTGGAACGTTCACATCCTTAACTGCTTCAATGCTTTGAGAGTCTAGAGAACTGGCCCTGGGAAGAACTGGCACTCAAGCTGATTAACACTGAAGGTGATCTGGCCTCTTGCCCCCCTCACCTCTTCCACTGCGGCCCACAAAACGCAGGTCATTGAAACGCGCCACCTGATTCTTTATGGCCGCGGTTGCATTCCGTAGCTCAGCAGAGTAGTTCTCATCGTTGCCAGCCATCACTGTTACCAGAGTGCCATCCGGGACATCCCCGAGGGCAACCACCTGCGTAGGAAACAGCACAGGAACTTCATTAACAGAACACAAGTCAATGCAACTTGACACAGCTCATCACAGTACAGCTCAGTGTGGCTTATTTCAGCAGAATGTGAGAACACAAGAGTGCTATCCAGCAGGTGGCAGAGGCTGGATAGACTTCAGACCTCATTCCAGACTTGTTCAAAGAGAGTCTACTTTCTCATTGCAACACCACTTCACATCAAATGATTAAATTGAAACAAAGTGTTGATAATAATTGATGTTTTAAAATTAACAACTGATGTATGTTCAGATAAGATTCTTTTTACATCAACATATATAGTAGAGTAATCATTTTTTCTCTTTTTTCTTCCCTAAAAGGACTGCCTAAAAATATCATATATACCCAAGGTAATGTTTTAATATTCTGTTTATTAATTTTCTGTTATTGTGAGCAGCATTAGCTTGGCTGCCTTGTAGCATTGAGACACTGGGTTCAAATTGAGACCTGGGCTGTTATCTGTGAGGGGTTTCTATGTTCTCCTCATGTTTGTATGGGTTTCTTGCAAGTGCTCCTGTTTCCACCCACACTCTATACACATACTGGTAGATTAACTTACTTTTAGGAAAATTGGTGTGAGTGTGTGTGTGTTTGTGTCTCTGTGTGTCCTGCAATGGACTAGCATCTTGTCCAGTGTGCATTTCGGATTGCACCAGTGCTTGGCAGGTTAAGTTGTGGCTCCACTATGACTCTCAGATGCATAAGCAGATCAAGGCCAGCAATAGAAGTATAGTAGAAGAATACTAGTGTCATCATCCAGGTGCTCATATATCCTGGGACAGAGTTCGGGAGAAGCGTGGACATACAGTAGGTGGAAAATCATCATACATCACCACCACATTGCAAGGATAAGTGCAGGTGTACCACTAGGAAATAGTTAAAAAGAATCAAAGCAAACTGACTTTTTTGTTGCCTGTAGATATAGTATCTGTAGCTAAGTAATGGCACTTCCTGTTCAAACTCCACCAGCCAAAACCTTTTGGTTCACTTACTAGAATGGATGATTCTGTGTTCATGGAACTTTGAAAATAAGTTACTGATAAATGAGCATAGTTTAGTAAGTGAAAGTATATATATATATAAGAATTTGTAGTGTTTCATACAAAAATAAATCTTTATCTGAAACTGAATAAATTACATATCACTATGGAGACCCTGTGTTTCACATTGCCTCATGAAACTGTAGCAACAAACCCAACCCTATGAAGTTATAACTGCGAGCAGCTCCCCACCTAAGGTAAATAACTTTGGAGACTGTTTTTATAAAAGCTGTGACTGGTTATATGCACAGTCATGGTCTACCTCTGGAAGTGTTCTACTGTAGCAAGTGTGATCTGGGCCTGTCTTGGTATTCTGTGATTCAAGGAATTAGACTCCCTTTTCCAGGCACTGGACTGCTCTCAGATATTGTGAATATTCTTATTATGGGCAATTATACAGTGGATCACTATACTGTACTGCAAGTCTTCATGCAGAATTATACAGTAGGTCATTATACTATACTGTAGGTCTTCATACCATGGGCAATCATACAATGAGTCATCATACTAAAGTGTGGATACCTATATTGTAGGCCCCTTTACTGTGGTTCTCCTTACTGTGTGCCTCGTATACCATGTGTCACCATTATGTGAGTAATTATTCCATAGGTTCTATAGTGTGAATCTTCATACTGTGAATTATTATGCCACAGCATCTATACTGTGTGTCTCCATAATGTGAGTTTCTATAAAGTGTGTCTTCCTACTGTGAGTATTCATACTGTCAGTAATTATACCATGGGTCACTAAACTGTGTGTTTTCTTCATACTGTGGGTCTCTGTCCCATGTGTTCCTATTCTGTGGGTCTGTGTACTGTTGATTCTTAATGTGTTATTCCTGTGTAATGTAGATCCTTGCATTGTGTGCTTCTGTACCATGGGTCTATGCACATTGGTCTCTATGCTAAAGCCTTACCAAGTCATCGCTCAGGGATTTCTGCATAAGCACAGTGAGTTTTAAGTATCAGAACTTTTTGCAACATAGATGTTTTACATATTTATAGAAGGTGTTAAGTACTCTGGTTAAACTGTACTTATTTTATAATACCGCTTCAACCGCTTCATTTAAGGCTTATTAATCCTAGAAAGTGGTAATTACTGTGTTGCAGTGAATTTAAAAAGTTATATGTGGAATATATATAAATGTCTGGAATTGTATAGGAGATATCAATTTATTTTTCTTCCGAATTATTAGAAAAGTGTATATTCCTGTGGTGTTTTAATATATAGGACCTTCTGTAACAGTTACTGTATTGTGAAAAACAAATGATAAACCCTTTTAAGGGGACCTGAATTAGTCCTGAAGATGGACAATCCAAATGTTTTGTAGATCTCTCTATCCTCCTCGGTTTTTAAACACCCAAGGCAACTATATTTTGAAGGGTTAATTTGGAGGTTTGTTTAATGATGTGACGAAAAGATAATTTGAAATGAAAATAAGAACATCTTACAGCTCCCAGGGACCATAGCTGCCTGATCCTTACTTAAACGAAAATTAATTTGCTAAATTGATCAGAAACTTCCATTTCTTCCCATCTGTGAAAACTGATAACACAGGGAGGCTGTCGTGGCTTTCAAAAGATATATATTATATCAGACCATCCTCGGAACAATACCTAAATATGTTTAATTAAAATGCAACAGATTCCAGAGATTGATTCTTAATAATGATTTCAGTCCACACTATGTAACTGTCAATTGGTATTTTCTACAGTTCAATAATCGTTTTAGATACAGCCTATGTCACTTTGGATAAGCAGCTAAACTGCAAATAGCAAGACTGAAGTGAAGACGCGAGCTCTACTTCGGATTCCCAGGAATTTCTCTTTCACACAGTAGAAGATCCTGAAACACTGGACAGCGACCTTCTGTACAATACTCTCCAGATGATCTTCTGAGACTTGCGTTGTCTTTGTCCCATATTTAAGCAAATAAACTAAGGAAAATATTTCATAGTATAAATCAATTTATTTTTTATAATCTCATCCAAAGTGTAGTACTTTCATTTTCGTAGTCCACTAATAAACACCTACATCATCAACATCAATAATAATAATAATAATAATAATAAGAAGAAGAAGAAGAAGAAGAAGAATTTCTGCTTTTCCAGAGTATAATGCACAAAATCGAGTGTTACAACCACGATCATAAAGTACAGGTCCGTAAACCTTTGATGAGCTTAAGAATTTTGATAGTACAGGTGTATATATATATACATGTCGGGTGTAGTACAACGAATTGAAAGCACCTTATTAAACTAAGGATGATTCCCTGTACGAAACCGCACGTTTGTTACAATTGCCCTTTTTGTTTCAAACATTTTCATCGCTAACTGCTAGGGTAAAAAGAAACACGTAACTGCTGAAGAGAGAAGAAACAAGGATAAACTCAAGTTCCAAACTCTAGGATTTCTCTAATAACAAAAACGACTGCAAAAATACGTAGTATTACTGCTGGTACAACTAGAATAAATCGAGCGATTTTAGTTTTGTGAAGAGGGAAATAATTAGAGGAATCCATCATCAGTGTTATTCACTCCATTTTGTGACGTGCATTTATAATTCCACGCGTCAGGCCTACTATTTTTAATGTCGGAACAAAGAATAAACTCACTAGTCTCTCAATAATCCAAGCCGAAACATAGACGTGACCTCTAAAATAGAAATTGTGGATGTTCGTTTTGTTAGTCTTACTGCCACGAGTAATAGTAATGTAATATTCAATAATATTTATATCACATTACTTTGGGAAGGCACTTTTGTCGGCCCCAGTATTATACTTTGCCTCATCATCTCTCCAATGTTTTTTGTAGTTATTCAACCTCTAAAAGGCTTTAAGAAAAAAAAGTCAGAAGTGCGTCTGGCAAACCCTGCCGGAGACACCAATGTGAAACCCATTTTTACACTTTATACTGTTCTAATCTCTTTCCACAAATTTAGTAGAAATAATCACACCTGTATGTATTTAACAGTATACGGCTGTATGTCCCAATAAACGGAGATCACTTTCATGCGCAATCGCGAATACCTGGCGATTTTACTAAATGGTAAAAAAATAATTGTAATGCTAAATCAGTTAAAGAGAAAACGATTATGAGTTGGGTGCTAACTGTTAATAGAATAGTGATCTTTAACAAATGTCTTAAATATTTGGTTTGAAAAATACATTCTTCGTTTTTCTTCTTCTCATTACGAATAGTTTCATTCTACCTGAAGCTATGTTTGTAATTAATTACATGTAAATATATCACAATATTTTTAGACAGTTTTAAGGTTTATTTAATTATTTTATTTACTTTGAAAATAAAAATGGATCCATAAAATAGCAAATGCAATTGATTAAAAATGTAGGGAAGTATTGTCATCGAAACAGAGGCTTAAATACAGGCTAAATAAGCAAACGGTTGTGTGAAAGTTATTTTGAAAATCTGCATAAGACATTTCTACTGCGACCGCTGTATTTGCTAATACCACTGTCACTGATATTAAAGCCAACCCATGTCGGAGAAAAGATGAGCCTGTATCAATGCCAAGCGGTTCTGTGATCTTCAGACGGACAGTAGCTTACTCGTGGTTAGAATGCGTAAAACAGTTACTGCACAAATATCATGGGATGGGTGCACAAAATCCTCTGGAATTCATTCAGCATTCATCTTAGGCTTTTTTTTTTTTACAAAAAATATCCCTAGATAAAATACCTCGGTATTAACTATACAACTCTTGTCATGAAAAATAAAAAAAAATGTCAAATATTTTTGCCGAAATACAGACGTTATCCACTTCGGAGGTACTGTTTAGTGGTTCCATTCTGAACGACTACGTCTAGTTTTAGCCTTTTATTCCGTAAGGTTTTTTTTTGTGCAGGGTCCCGTCAGTTCTCTGATCTGGAAACAAGTCATTTTCAAAAGTGGAACAATGGCTCCTGTTTTCCTAAAGTACAGCGTAGGCATTTATGCAAGTTTTGCAAGAGATCTAGGCATGACTTGTGTGATTGTAACTGCAACTGTCCCTGCTTGCAATCTGTTGCTATTTCCATAATCACCAAAAGAAAGAAATACTGTATGCAATAGCCTACAGTATGTGCTCTTCAAAAGGCTACAAAAAGTCAATCTCTTTTAGAGCTCTTTAAGAGTCATGACACTGCTAAATTACCATTTACAACAACTCTTGATTACAGGACAGCAGTCATAACTGAAGCAGAATCTAAAGTTATCAAGGGTATTAGCTTGTGGAACAGGTATTGCACACAACATCATCTTGTGATTTAAATATAGCAAATTGCATTTTTTGGGGGAGTGAGAGCATGGTGACACAGGGATTAACATTGCTACCGCGTAGAGCTTGGGCCCTGGGTCCAATTCTGGACCTGTAGTGCTATCTGCACTACTATCTGTAGCTTTTATGTAGTCCCTCCGTTCTCATGAGTTTACTCTGGGTACTCTAGTGTCCTCCCACAGTCCAAAAGCATACTGGCCCTGGTGTGAGTGTGTGTATGTCTGTGTCTGCCCTGCAGACACACAAAGACAGACTGTCCTTCTGTCCAGGGTGTATCCTGCCTTATGCCTTAAGCTTTGCTTGCCTGGATAGGCTCTGGCTTCCCCACAACCCAGAATTGGATTAAGCTGTTAGAAGATGGGTGGATAGAATCTGCATCTTTCCTTAAGGATGGAATTGTTCTTGGCACCTCTACCATGTGGATGTGTAAATTGAATCCTTTTGACATTTCCCAACCTCTAGTCCTATCTTAACCTCTAACATGCATAAACTTGCATTTTTACATAAAATCCATTTAAAGCACACATACCACACAATATTCCATTGTATATCATTTATAAAGCATCTTAGAATGTGAGGTAATACCAAAGAGTTAATCTCAAAAGTATGAAAATAATACGAATTCACAACTGAATTTTGGTGAGTTGCATGTACAACATGGGCATGTAAAAAGACAGTTAATGAAGTTAATATGAATGCTTTTGGCTGTGTTACCTTGAATGCAATTGGTAGGGTCTTATTGCACCTCCAATGTGTAGGCAGGACGGAGCAGAGGAAGTTGGGGCTGTCTGTACGGACCAGCTCCCCTGGATGATCGGCCAGCACCTCCACCATGCTGCGGTCCGTGATGCGCAGTTTACCCACCAGGGCGGCACTGTTGTCCTGTGCCCCAAGTGGCAATGCATCGCTCATCTTACCAGGGCTCAGTGTGGTGGAAGGTGGGGTGAAGCGGCGCCCTGGGGCCGGATCTATAAGGAAGACGATACAGGAAGAGTTGTATTACCAAGAAAAAGCTAATTCTTAAAAAAAAAACATCTGATGTCTACCAAAGAAGTTAATCAAATGAAGATTGATACTGATTTAAAAAAGGAACAGCTGACAGCATGTTGTTTAATTGAGAACTAGCTTGTCAAAGTCTCAACTGCACAGATAATACAAATAATAATCAAGGCAATTGTTACCCAGCATAGTATCCTACAGATTATATGAGGAACGGATTAAAAACGTTAGGGGTTATGAACTGCAAAAGCAAATCTATTTTCTGTCCATTGCCATAATTAGCAGAACACTCGACAAAAACAACAAAACACACCACACTCAAGATCTTCGAGCAACAGTGTTGTTGTTTTAGCATAAGGGCAAAAACACTAATTATAAATGTGTGAGTGGTTAACTTGGCGTGCACCAGGATACATGAATAAGCAAGGAAACACACATAGATTTCTGAAGTGCAAACTGAACTGGAAAGCTTCACACAAGAAAACTCCAGACATTTCGCAGCGAATGTAAATGCGGGAGGGGGGCTTTGGTAGAAAACACTAACCAAGAAGAGTTAATAGCAACAGTTGGTCTCACACACTTCCCACACTAAAGTCTGGCATCTGAAACACTGGAAACAACAATATATCGTCACACAGCGCCTCTCACCGCAGACATTGCAACATTTAAAAGTATCACAGGAAGCTGTCGAGTATTTCTCAATTAACATTCAAAACGGCTTATATATCGTATATATCAAATATATGCCACAGATGCAGTGTATTCCACAAAAGGAAACTAACTTGCATCCAAGTATTTACCGCGGTGTCAACGATAAGGCGCGCAGACGCCAATACCACACACTAGTGGGCACAGATACAGATAACTTCTTTGTTGTGGTGATGCTGAATAGATTGTGTAACACCGCCTGTTTGGGAGCGATTACTATGTCTTCTCTCATTTACTTTTGTGGTATATGAAACTAACCAGGTTGTACTCTTATGACACAATGAAGTTATTAGCATACCGTATTTGGCGTCCCAAAGGAAAACCATTTGTGCGCAGTTGAAAACTCCTCTTAGATACTCTTATAATTGTTTTCCGATTCACTTTTTCAATGAGCTCTGTTCAATGAGAGTGTTCTGCTGCTCTGTGTTGCGGGCTCATGAAGGTGTCACGGAGATACTGTTCCCGCAGAGTCAGACGTCCAGAAGTCAAGTGTCATCAGCACGCCAGTGGTAAACACGAGCTCCACCTCTCGCTCCAAGCGCACTGTCTGCAGATCCCCGTGTCGAGGTAAATAATCTCAAAACCCAGCAAAGGGACACGACTGCCCATTTAGAAACCGATCTGTGTCGTTTGAACTCCGATGATCTCTCTGCGGTGGTATACTGTACAAGTCTTTTGAATGATTGATTTGATAGAAGAAGGTAAAGAATACAGGCGAATCCTTAGACTAACTTCATATTTTCCTTCTTTTACAATAATGAAAGGCGGTCCGTAATCTCCAGCCGACAACGGTGTGTCTGTCAAGTTGTGCAACGCGCACCAAACCACCAAACTTCCTGGAACAAAACAAGCCCTCCAGGTACTTTGGGGTACTCTAACCCAGCAGGTGGAAAAGAGATGAGAACCGCGGAGAACAAACGACCGCCGATCAGTCCCCCACACAGCCTAGAAACAGACTGCAGGATAAAACTCTCAAATATACTACTAAATAGACAGACAAGAAAACGAAGCAAAAATGCAAAATGCTGCTCTTGTAGCAGTGAAACTTATTAAAATCTTATAACAAAACTTTTTAAAAGTTTTGGAAAAATTATAAACATAGCGAAAAAGTTTGTCTTTATTTTGAATGCCACAGGAAAAAAGCAGGTTACGAAAATCAGGTCCGATTCTCAGAGCAACTGATGTCCACGCGATAGGGTGTTGCAGCATGCCGGAGGGTTTCTTCAGGCATTGACCTGGTTATTATAAAGCGTAGTGAAACACATCCTAAGACTTACTGAATAAATGGCGGCAATAATAACACATAATATTGACATTAACGGAGCCAGAACAATATTTTTTTTATGAGGCAGAGCCGACAATTCTGTTTGTGTTATTCCCGGGTCTTTTTATCTATCCAGAGTCATTCCAGCCAAAACAGAAACCAAACCTGCAGTCCCAATCCACACGCATACAAACACATACAAACTACCCTGCTGTCGTTCGGCCGGCTGCTGTGCCCGCTGCGCTATATGAATGAACAGCTCGAGAGTGGGTTGGCTTTTACTGGCAGCAGGCTGTGCAGGAATGCGGCCGGGTGGGTGAATTTGCATACACCGAGGTCTTGGCCTATAGGGGAGCTGTCTTGACAAGGCCGGGATTAGCTCCAACCAATCGGAGGGTCGCCCTCTAGCCTGCAAGTAATTGCACAGCTCCTCCCGAACAGTCAATGGGATTCCACAGGCGCGACGCCTGCCACTGTAAAATTACACAGGCGTCCTGCTATTGTGGTGCGCAGTATCTAACAGACAGGCAGAACGATAGACTAGGTGGGTAAAAAAAGTTCCATCAGGCCCCCCGGGCTTCAAAACTAAACAAAAAACTTTATTGGAAAACTTAAAAGATTAACTGTTTTCCCTCTCTGCTTTATCACAGACCAAAGGTTATCCCAGTGATGACTTTGTATGCTTAATTGATTCAATGAAGGGCTGGAGGTGCAGTTGCTTAAATGGTTCTCAACGTCTTGCTTCTAAATATATTAGCAAACCATGAAGAGGTCTGAGTAATCCCCACACAGGAAGGAGAGGAAGCAGTCTCTCAGAACGAAGGTCATTATTATATCATCAGTCTATACTGCATCGGCCCCGGTAATTGACAGCCAGTCACGAGAGCTCAGAAAGGCAGCACGGGACTGCAGGCTGCTCCCAGTCTCTGTACGTAACCCATCGATTTATTACTGAAGAGATACAATCACAATCTTAATATCAGCAGCGCCATTTACACTGGCTATTCCAGTACTGATGCTATCATATGCTTTGTTTCCCAGAGAACATGATACCATCTTAAAAAAATAACAGCGACAAAAGGAATCAAATACAGGATATTTATAGGAGCTCTTCTGGGTCAACTATTATTTCATATTTGTGATGAAAAAGGCATGTCGAAATATAAAAAATAGATGAGACAATAAATTTCACACTTCAGATTTTTCAGATAAAATTTTGAATAAAATACCAGTCACAATCCCTATTAAATACATTAAATTATAGCATCCATAAGTAAAACGTCAGACGTAGGTTAGAAAGACATATAAAATAGTTGTCTATAAAATACGTGGGTAAATAAATGTATATATCTCAATACTATTTGCACCTTTATATGTACCGAAGCAGAAATAATAACATTGAAGATTAATCACTTCTGTATTTCTCGTCTTTACAGTAACATCTTGGTCGAGGTCTAGTCATTTGCAAGAGATAGCCGAAAGGGGGCGGCAGAGGACGTAAAAGTGGGGTTTCTCAAGCGACTTCGTTTTGTGTTAGTGTAACGTTACAGAAGAATCAGTACATATTTACCGATCGTTTTTATTGAAATCTATCCACCACTGACTTCCTCAGGTTAATTTTTAATAGATTTACTGTGGGAGATTTGAAAAATGGTTTTACGAGAGTCAGGGAGACTTATAAACCCTGAAGTCTGTGTTTCAGATCAAAACCTCAGATTATTTGGCCACATCCCGTAAAAAAGATGATTGACACACGCACAAATTATCATCGAGTCGTTGCTTCAAAGGTTAAGGTTACCCGTTAATACTCGTACAGAAGAGTAGTGAAACCGTTTCATATCCCGTACTCCTACGGCGCCGTACACGATCAGGTGATAACGCACACCAGATACACTGTACGCAATTCAGTAGAGGAGTCAAACAAGGATTTTAAATTATACTAAGAATTAAATTAAAATCTTGTATTTGTTAGGGTGAAACAGCCTCAGACACATTAATGTATTTCAATGTTTACGAAGAAAATTAATTTATCTTTTGAGCTTTACACAGAGCGCTAAAATGCAATCCTCTCACCCATAAATCAGTATCTGTCTACCTGTATTCTTTTTAAGTTAATGTATATTAAATCGCAAGCTAATCTGTAATAGCGTTATTCAACGAGTAACAATTAAAATACTAAGTGTGCATGTTACATATGTTAACGATTTCATTTTAAGAGACTGTGTGTTATTTGTAAACGTTATAACACCAAATGATATGCCCTGATTTTTTATATTTATCCTTTTTCAGTGTTCTTCTACATCGATTACAACCTTCATACCTTTTTCCTCATTCAATATTCCGGATTTTATTAGTTTTTGAAGCGGTGTTCATATATTAAACACTCCACTCTTCAAAATGAATATGAAAAGGATGCGTGTTAAGTGATACGCGCAGGGTAACTATTAGTATATTAGTATGCATAGTTTTTTGCATATGCAGCATACATTAAATGTAGCTTTCACAAAATACAATAATCATTATTTGAATGTAAATACTGTATGTATTAAATTACTTGAATCAGCGTATCTGATTCAAGTAATTAGTGTAACACGTTTTAGTATTTCGCCTTTAGCTAGACATATTGTATTCCAGTCGGCCACGCAAAACAAAACGCGAAACTAAAAGTGATCTATCAAATTTTTTTTTAAAAACAGAATTCCGTTAAAAAGCAATGTTGGATGAATCTGTCTCCTCGATTTTTATAGAAAAAAAAACAATTAGAAAGCAATTAACTTTTAGCGACTATTATCCTTTCTCACGGTATGCTTTTGTTATTGCACACTTATCATCTTGACCTGGTGCGAATTTAAATCGCGTTGGATAAAAGCTTCTGCCAAGTGAATGACTGTAAATGCATTTCTTGCTAGTACAGTCGGTGTCGCCTAGCGCAGCAGAGCCTAGGACTATTCCTATTAACTAAACCACTTCCTGCCGTTTTCACTTGCCGCAGAAATTACCCGCTCCACTTCTGTGGGGATGGAACACTTAACTAACCGCAGCAGACCCGAGGTCCCCAGCAATGTTATACATTTGGAACATCTGTCACCTAAAACCTACTGTGAGTTTTATGGGCCTAACACTGTACATCATTGAGATGCATTTTGCTAACAGTGAAGAGTGTTCAATAATTACAAAAGCGACGGAAATACGATTTTCCGGCTTTCATTAAGAAAAAACACCAGCTAGTACTTCTCTGAATTCACTAGATCTATGACAACCTTCATCTGATTTTTTAAATACGCCTTGACACCATGTGTTAAATACTGTATGTCTGGCAATTAAAAATCTTGAGTTTGACAGGTGCAGGTGAGATAATATTAACAAGAAAATATTTTAAATTCTAGCTATTTTGGTTTTGTAGCTCATGTGTTGCCAGTAGTTAGTAGCTAGTTTTATCCGGATCCCCCTCCCGAAATAATCCTAATAGATGCAATCTTTAATGCGCTGCTGAGAACACGATTGCGCGCGCTTCTCGCGGCAGGCCTGTCTGTTCGTAATGAGATAGAAGGGAATTGCATTTTTAACTAGCGCACCACTTCCAAACTTACACCAGTAGTCTCACTGTCACAGATAACATCGAAAATTGGTTGGAGAGACTTAAATTACAAGATACAGTCTGACAAACACCTGGCTGGTGGAATTTAAAATAGATTACTTTCTCAATTGCATTGTTGGAAGAAAACGTTTCTTTTCTTCACCTTGAAAAAGCGAGAAAACAATATAAGACCTACATTATACCTCACCATGAAGAAAAATATGTTGTAAAACTGAGGCTTGTTTAAAAGCCACTTACACTCTGAAGACTTCCTTTGTAGTAGGGTGCAGTAGTATGCATTTAATCACCAAGTTGTGTAAAGGAAAATGGTGCACATTAAAACGAAAAAAGTGTGACAAAACTACCCTCAATGGCTTGTTAACAAGACAGACAAGTTAAAAGGGCAAGATCTCACCGATGATGAGACTAATGATTATTAAAGTAGTCATAACCCACAATGGTAGCCCACTAACATTATTTCAAGCAACTGCAAGATTCACACGATTACTTAAGACTGAAAAAGACATTTAGGATGTGAAGTGGGACGTCTTTACACCAAGAATAGCGGTTGCCTTAAACAAATAAGCTAACCATAAAGCGGACTGAGATCCTTCCATAAAACTCAACAGGAACATTTTCTGATATAGATTAGCTACTGTGACCCAGTATAAATTGAATGTTGAAATAGTCTTTCCGACTATTCTGCCAATATTAGTGACTATACATATATTCTTTTGATAAGTACACTAATAAGTAGTATAATAAAATGATTTCTGCGTGGTAACCAAACAGTTTATATAACAAGAATAATAAATAATAAATTGCAGGAGGTGTTCAATCATCACATTTCCATGGATCCAGGTTTTATGTTCCAAACAAATCTTCCATACATTTCACGCGCCCTGTTCCCATTTTCCCCTTTTGCCCAGAATTATTTGTCAAATTAATTTTACATAGAAAAGTCTGCTTGACACCCGTGTCAGACAATTTAGGGCAAATACACGAGATTTTCCTAAGTATCTGGAGACAGTCTTGTTTTAAGAGTTTAGCCACAGGGGTGCTAATAAAAAATGTAACGTTTTTAGCTGCGGTGACGTATCCTCTCAGGCAGCCCGGCGCTGGTACCAGTTCATCGCTTTTGTGAGGTGACTGGCCATATACAGTAGATGTCTCGGACTGAAGGGACGCCGGCAATAGCACCTGCATCACAGAAACTTAGGCAATGAGGTCACCACACAAACCACTTGTGTGGTTTGTCGGGTGACAGCTGACCATTATACATACTTTTCCTTCACAGAATATCCGTCAATCTATTAAGCACAGCACATCTTTGCACAACGGTGCATATTGTACTCTTTGAGCGCTTGGTGTTGCGCTCCATTATTTACACTATGTTCTGACAGCATTGCACGAAATGCCAAGAGCAACGTTCCAGAATCCCGAGTGCGACTAGGAGGCGGTGGAGAGGGGTTGGGCAGCTGTAGAGAAAGGTCTTGTAACATAGCCGGGAAAAGGGAGATGAAACATTATTTGCCCCATCTGTAATAAAAAGGGTTTCCTGAGGGGAAAAGGGTAACTGTAGAAGACCGTCTTATTCTTTATTTTTATTTTTTAAAATATTTTTTCGGTAACAATAGTTTATTTCTCTTCTGTGGTGAGAACCCTTGTCT